CCCCGTCCTCCCCACCCCCCCCTCCCAGGCCGGGGTGGCACTTTGCAGACGTGGTGCTGACAGCGTGACGAGCCAATGCAATCAATATTCATCCTGACATTTCCCTCCGTGCCAGCCCTTCCCAGCGCTCCAGCTGGCAGCCCCCAGCTGCGGTGCCGCGATGGCAGGGTGGCACAGGGATGAGCCAACCCCTTTCCATGGAACTCCCAAGCCCTGGGGGAACCTGGGGGGCTTCTGCCTCCCTTTTCTTTAGCATCATTCCTCTTTCATCTGCTGTATCTCCTCTGGCTTGTTCCTGGAGCGGTTTAAGGAGAGCAGGGGCTCCCTGTCATCGCTTCCTCCTTCAGCTTTCATGGAATCATGGAATCCTGGAATGGTTTGGGTTGGAAGAGACCTTAAAGCCCATCTCATTCCACCCCTGCCATGGGCAGAGACACCTCCCACGCTCCAAGCCCCATCCAACCTGGCCTTGAACACTTCCAGGGATCCAGGGGCAGCCACAGCTTCTCTGGGCAACCTGTGCCAGGGCCTCCCCATCCTCACAGGGAAGAATTCCATAAATCCCACCTAAATTTCCTCTCTTTCAGTTTGAACCCATTACTCCTTGTCCTGTCACTGCTGTTCCTGATGGAAGGTCCCTCTCTGACCTCACACCTGGAGCCCACGGGGGCTCCAGTGTGTCACCAATATGTGTGTAAGGGGTGACATGGAAGTGACAGTAAAGGCACAAAGACTCCAGCATGGATAAAAGGAGCTTGGGACTGTCCCCAGGGTGCCCTCAGCCACACCAGTGTCACACACTGTCCACCCCAGCAAGGAGGACCAGGGATGGATGCAGTGAAACCTCCGCTCTCCACCCTTTCTCAGCCTCTCCTGCCTTCATCACCCTCAGAACAGCCCTTCCCCTTCCTACCTCATCCCATTTCACCCTGGATTTGGGGATCATCCCCTTCCCTGGTGGGTCCAACCCTTCCTGCAGCAACACCCAGGGCAAATCCATGCCCAGCAGCTGCAGTGCTTCTCCTCTCCCCACTCCACGCTGCAGAGCTAATGAATGCAATTAGTGCAAATGGGTTTATTCTCATTAGGGACCCGCCCAGGGCCTGATGCCAGTGTGGGGATGGGCAGCAGTGAGGAGTGCAGGGAGCAGCATCCCGCCCACGCTCTCCCTGGATGCTCCACACCTCCTCCAGCTCAGCAGATGCTGCTGCTCCGGAGTGAGGATGGAACGGGGCGAGCATTGGAGATGGAGGGGAGCCAGCGAGGTGTGAAGCAGCTGAGCTGCCTGGCTTGGCACAGCGAGCAGGAGACAGTTGGCTTGTTCCTTCACAGTGACACCATTTCCCTTTCAAGCTGTTCTGATGGACACAGAGAAGGATGAGAGGCTGAGAGTTGAGCCCTGACAGCGCAGGAGAGAGGGGGGGGACACTTCCAGCATCTCGGGGTTGGGCAACATCTTGCTGCTTGCTGACGTGTTCGGAATGTGGATGGAAAACTGGAATCCGTGCTGGGCTCAGTGCTGGTGGGTTTCATTGCAAAACCCACCCTGCCACCTTGTTCCCAGTCCCAGGGGTGGGCTGAGGCCAAGCAGCCTCAAACTGTGTCCGGCTGCTTTGCTGGGAAATCATCTGTTCATGAGAGTCCTGTGAAACAGGAGTGGAAGTGCAGGGTGTGGTAAATTTGGTAGGAGCAGAGTATCTTCGATTCTATGATCAGGAGGTGTTTTGGCAGTGGAACAAGTAAGAATTATGGGATCACAGAATCCTGGAACGGTTTGGGTTGGAAGGGACCTTAAAGATCTTCCAGTTCTGCCCCCCTGCCATGGGCAGGGACACCTTCCACTATCCCAGGTTGTTCCAAGCCCCGTCCAACCTGGCCTGGAACACTTCCAGGGATAGGGCAGCCACATCTCTGGGCAACCTGTGCCAGGGCCTCATCACTCCCACAGGGAAGAATTTCTCCCCAGTATCCCATGCCCACTGTTGGTGTGAAGCCATTCCCCCTTGTCCTGTCACTCCATGTCCAAATTACTGTGGAAAGCCTGTACTGACTGCCAGGGATGAAAGAAAAAGGAAAGAGAGGGGAGAAGGGATGGACAAAGTTAGAAATTTTAAGTACCTCTCAGTTTCTGAGGAAGGAGCAATGTCCCACCCTGAAGGAGCCTGTTCTTCCCTGAGCTGGATCATCCTCTGGGAACAGAAAGCTGTGTCTGGGAAGGGGCTGAAACCCCAAGAGGCTTCATTTTCCCTCACAGACAGGCACCAAAACTCCTGTCAGGGAGACGCCCACCTCCAAACCCAATGGAAACAGGATCCAGCCGCAGCCAGGATGGGAACCCACCTCCCCAGAGGTCGACACGCACAGAGAAATCATCTCCAAAGGCTTGAAACAAATCCAAAAGTTTATTTCCAACGAGTACACAGACCACGTGGGATGGGGGATGCGCTACATCACGACGCCGACCTCCCTGCTCCGGCTTCCTCTCCCAACCACCCCTTCCCCAAAAACCTGGCAGTGGCAGGTTGGCACCCAAGGAATGGATTTCCCCCGCCACCAGCAACCTTGGCAGGCAAAAAAAATAAAGTCCTTTTCCAGTACTCCAGATATATTTTTCTTTAAAAGCCTGGGGGTTGAATGTCATTTGATACCACGCTGGAAATACAGCATCGGGATGGAGGGATGGCTGGTATTTTCATTGAGGAGGGAAAATGATCTTGGCAGGCGATCTCTACTTGGCTAACAAAGGCATATCTGTGTAAATATAAATACTGGGGTGAAATACCTGGCAGCACACCAATGTCAACACCTCTACCAACGTAAAATAAAGCCCAGCAACATAAAACACCTTCAATGAGTAGTTTGGGTTAATTCAAAATTCCCTCCCCCCCCCCCCCTCCCCGTATTCTTCATGCAGGTTTATTTCACCGTTCAGTTATTAAGAATTCAAGTTGTAAAATACGCAAGTCGTTAAAAAAATTATTACAAACCACTTTATGACAGTGTTTGAGAAGGGTCAGGGGTGGGAGCCCCGGGGTCAGGCCGGCTGCGCTTCACTCTCTGTGACGGTAAATCAGCGTTAAAAAGAAAAGACAAAAACCCAGGATGGGGTATTTACATGTCTTGGTAACACCAAGAGTGAAACCAGCTGCAGAGCAAACGGCTTCATCCATCCTTCATCCTAAAGCTACACAAGCTGTAGTAAAAAGATCAAAATTGGAGGGTTAGGGGGGGCCAAAAGCCACCGTGGGAGGGCTGGGACCATCTACGCTACTCGTGGCGTATAAACATTCCCAGATGCCAAAGGTTTTGAGTCCAGTGTAAGAACAACTGGTCTTCTCCGTAGAAGACTAGAAAAAGAGTATGAAAAGGTAGAAAAACCAAAAAGCACTTGTTACGGGCTAGAAAGAGTCACCAAAAGGTACCTAAAGACTAATGCCCTCTGGAATCCACAGGGATTAAGCTGATACCTGGTTCAGAACTAGTTTAGTAAGGTCACCACAGATCCCCCAAGTTCCCATGAGACACCCACCTAGTTATTCCCGAAGTTATGATTCCCAAAGTTTCCCAGGAGTGTAGAAGAGCAGGGGAAGCCAGGAGGGGTTTAGCAGCGGAAAGGAGAGACAAGCCACATCCTTGGAAGTGTGAACCCGAGGCAGAGCCCAAAAAGGTGGCGTGTGTCCCCTGAGAGCAGATGAACCAGAGCTGGGAATAATTCCCCAGCCTGCCAGGGAGCTCAGGCTGTGTGTAAACAGGGTATCAGGCACCTCCATGAAGGGGTGGGCCCACAGCTCCCCAAGCTGCTCCCCTGCCCCTCACCAACGTGGTGGAGCAGGAATGGGATTTGGTGGGTGTGGGAAAGGGGCAGAAGCATCCCACCAAAAAGCAGTATCCCACAATGGGACAGCATCCCACGGTGGGGCAGCATCCCACAGTGGGGCAGAATCCCATGGTGGGGCAGCATTCCATGGTGGGGTGCCATCCCACCACGAAGCAGCATCTCACCATGGGGCAGCATCCTATGGTGGGGCAGCATTCCACGGTGGATCAGCATCCCATGGTGGGGTAGCATCCCACCACGGGGCAGCATTCCACCATGAAGCATCATTCCACCATGAAGCAACACCCCAGGGTGGATCAGCATCCCACCACAGAGCAGCATCCCACCATGCAGCAGCATCCCACGGTGGAGCAGCATCCCACCACGGAGCAGCATCCCACCACAAAGCAGCATTCCAGACCAGCCCCAAGGGAAGGAGGTACTACTGGGAAGCCAAAGAGCAGGACCAAGCGAGGAGGGCAGAGGCACAGAGGTGTAGGAGAAAGGAAAGACCCGGAAAGGAGTGGTTGACTTTGACTTTCGGATTTTTAGCTACCCCACAACGCCCGGGGCAGGGGCCACCCCGAGCCCCTTCACCCGGGTTCTGGCACCTGCCCTATCGCAGGAGGTATTTCAGGCACGTCTAAGGCATCACAGGAGTTCTCTCTGCTTTCAGAATCGCCTCAGCCTCCTCCCTACAGCTCCTTCCACCAGCCAAACAACAGAAAAGAAAAGCCTGGAGCGGATGAACGGACACAAACTCTCATGCACTACCACCGAACGTCGTCACGGGAGTATGAAGCACCAACCACGACACATGAATCACTTTTACTTGCAGAACCAAAGCTAACCATATACAAAATGGTAAAAAAGTGGGGTTTGCCAGGAACACGGAGCTGCCAGCACGTGGGGGACAGGCAGGAGCTGCCGGTGTCCCCCCCAGACCCACCGTGGGGCCACTCAACCCCCCTGCTGTGCTACCACCAGAAATTAAAAAGCACAAGACCAAACATTGAGCAACATCATAAGTCACCTAACCTGTTGCTATATATCTGACAACTTAAATAAAAAATATTAGTCTGGAAAGAAACCAACAATATCATTCCAAGAAGGTTACACACATCCTTAGCAGTTACTTTGCTCAGCACAGCTCTGGTGCTTTGAATATGGAACAATCAAACGATTTTTGTGAGCAGAAAAGTGACACATATTTATTCTTTACATATTTTTTTTTTTCTCTCTTTCTAGGCAACTCTACAGACTTCAGATCTTTTGCCTCACAATGCAGATCATCTTATTCCCCCAAAAGGTGGCCAGGTTCTTTAAAACATGCACATCTCTGTAGCTTCCAGGCCGTGTATTTTACTTATTTTTGTTTAAATTCTGCGGACTAGCAGGTCGTCCCCATTCCTAAAAACTCTACATCAGTGTTCAGGGTGGCCTGAGTGCCCGTCAGGCTCCTCAAGGGTTTACAGGATCACACAGAAGAACTTCTTCTCTCTAAAGGGGTTTTCTGAGGCCGGGACGGGGGTCAATAGAGGGTCCTCCTTGGCGTGGGCTTCGCAGTACGCCATCAGGTCTGCTGCTGCTTTGGACACCTGCAAAGGAAGGAGCCCTGAGTTAGGGACAGGCTGTGCTGGGAAAATCCCACCTGGAAAAAGATCCTGCCAGCAGGGTTGGGCAGGAAACATCAGACCCTCGACAAGAACCTGACCAATGACCTGACAGCACATCCTTGGTGGGGCTGGTTCTTCACCTCTGTGCTCAGGGCTGGTTCTTCACCTCTGGGCTCTAAGCTCATCTGTCAGCACACGATCCCAAAAGCATCCTTCATGTCCTTTATCCATTCCCATCCTTCACCCATTCCCATCCTTCACCCAACCTGACCACAGCAAGGTCCGACTCTAGCATCCCTGCATCCCTGCTGGCTCTCCCCCAAAACCCTCAGCAGGGACATCCACGGCTGCTACAGCAACATTTGCTGCACTCAGCCACCAACCTCATTAGTTATTCTGGACATGGCAGCAGCTCCCAAGCCACTGGAGCTCAGCCACACCCCAAAAGGTGAGGTGTTGCTTGCATCCAGATGTGCCTGCAGCCAGCAGCTGCCACTGCAGCACTTCTCTCCCTAGATTTAACCTCTTCCCAAGGAGGTGAGATGTCTTGGGAACAGTCAGTCCTTCCCACCCACCCAGCAGGGCTCCAGGTGATGCTTCCAGCTGCCTTCCATCCCTAGGAGTGCTCGATGGGGCTTGGAGCAACCTGGTCTAGTGGAAGGTGTCCCTGCCCATGGCAGGGGGTTGGAACGAGATGGTCTTTAAGGTCCCTTCCAACCCAAACCAGTCTGTGATTCTATAATTCCATGGGCAAGCACCTCCCTGCCTCACTGCCCTCAGCCACGGCCATTGGGATCACTCGGAAGAGCATCTGCCAAAAACACCACCCAGCACCACATCCCAGCTCCCACCACGTGCTTTGGGCAGCTGCTCAGCAGCAGCCACTGCCTCAGAGCATTCCCCAGCCAGCTCCTGAGCCTCCCTACCTTTATCCTGTCGATGTTGGCTTCCATCTTCAGCTGCTCCACCAGCTTCCGTGCTTGCGCTATGCTGGCAGTGTTGTTGCTAGCCATGGGCAGGGCCAGGCACGCTCCCCGGGGGGGCTGTGGGCATGAACACACGTGGATCAGCCTTTGGGCCCTGAAATTCCCCAAACTATGTGCTGGGGTTGCATATGGGGAGCGTTAGAGCCATCGGAATGACGGTGTGAGGAAGGGGGGCGCAGACCCTGGGCAGGGAGCTGCAGTGACCCACTGCCAGGGGCCCTCTTCTGTGCCCTCCCCACGGTCCCCAGAGCCAAGCTTTGGGGCCACTGGGACCATCTGGAGCCCAGCCGAGCTGTCCTTTGGCATTTGCTGTTCCATGAAAGGCTGTGACAGCAACAAGGAAGTCAGAGAACAGGCTCCCCCCCGGCAGCCCAAAGTGCCTCTCCAGGCTCATTCCCTGCGCATCATCCAGCCCGTGCCGGTGCCCAGCGTGAGTCCGGTGTCCCTTGGCCTCCCTCGCTTTGTTCCTGCTGCCAATTTGAACACTGAGATGCTAAACAGGATGCTGGAGTTTCCTGTTTCTCGAGATTTCCACCCCAGGCAGGCGGGGGGACGCTCATTAAGTCCCTGCCGGCTCCATCACGGATGTTTTTCCGTCACCTTCTAACAGCAGTGAGCTCCGGCCAGAGTTCCAGCATCCCACTCCCCCGGCAGCCCACGCTTTTACAGGCAGCAAGTATTTTCCAGCAGAGGCACAGCTGTGCTCCTGCCTGCCTGGGGCTCACTGCCAGCTCCAAAATGTTGGGGTTTTTTGGGATGTCCCGCAACAGGAGGGCTCAGCGAGACCCCCGAGTGGGGGGGACAAGGATGGCACAGCCCTAAAATAAGGGGATCGTGATGTTTTAAGGAAAAGCTGAGGGCATGTCCAGCTCAAGCCCATTATAAGGGTGTTTGGACAAGGCTTATCCCGGGACTTAGAGAAAAAATCAACCTGGCACTGGTGCCTGTGCTCAAAGAGTGAGTCGTGCCGGGGTTTGAGGATGAGACCCCTCCCCAGCCCCCTGCACCCGGTGGGGACCCCAAAGAGGTTATTTTTTACCAGAAGCCGGTCTCTCCGCTGATCTGTGCCTCTAGGGGAAGATCTGCTCCTCTTGGCCGCTCACCACCTTCAAGCAAAGGGAATATGGAGTCAAAAGGAGCCGGGTTAGGTGGCAGTGATGCCACTCAGCTCCATATTTACGGCGCCAGGAGCCCCGGCGCTCCCGCAGACGCCGAGCTCCGTGCCTGGCACAGAGGCCGTGGCTTTCCTTCCGTGTGCCCCCCCCGCCCCGTGCCCTGCGAGCACGGCCCCCAGCGGCATCATTTGTTTGCATTCGGCGAGGTTTTCGGCACAGGAAGAGGTTTCAAGCCAGTGGGCGAGCATCCGAGGGCTGCCGGCAGCCAGGGCTCGTGGCTGCTCCCCAGCTCGCAGGACGGAGGATGCTCGGGGAGAGGGGATGGATTTAACCGTCTGGTGCACAGAGCACGTGGCAGGACGGAAGGAGCATCCCCCCGGGGAATGCTGCCAAAATCCCCCAGCTCCCGACAGCCCGAGCTCCCGGCTGGATCTGCTCTGCCCGGGCAAATCTCTGCGCCTTCGCTGGGGGTTTAGCTCGAGCCTGTGCGCTGCTTCCGCGCTGGTTCATCTCATCTCTCCCGCCCTTTTTTTTGTGTTGTTTTTTTTTGTTTGTTTGTTTTTTGTTTTTTGGGTTTTTTTTGTTTTGTTTTGTTTTGTTTTGTTTGTTTGTGGTTTTTTTGTGTTTATTTTTTTTTTTTTTTGGCTGGAGAGGAGTTTGAGCAGCAGGGTACAAGGGTACAACTCTGCTTTTCCTTCCAGTTCTCCCTCTGCAAAGCCATGGAGTGGATGGTGATGTGCCGTGGTTCTGCCACAGCACCTGGCACTGGGCTGGTGGGGCGAGGACACCACCAACCAAGATGCTGTCGTGTGGTTTGGATGCCACAGGGGCTTTTCTAATGCAGCAAATGTTAATCTGGTGGAATTATCATCCCTGGAAGTGTTCAAAAGACGTGTGGATGTGGCACCTGGGGACAGGGGTTGGTGGTGGGCTTGGCAGTGCTGGGGGAATTGTTGGACTCCATGATCTTAGAAGGATTTTTCAACCTAAACAATTCTATGTTGTGTCCTCTCATACAGAGGACCTGTTGCTGCTCCAATGACAGGGAGTCACTTCAGCAATTTCAGCCACTCCATGTTTAAGGTCATGGAAGAGGCATGGGAGCAGGGAGGACTGCTGGGAGCATCTGTACAGCTGCTACAGCCCTGATCTTAAAAAAATTATGTATATCCAACCTTGCTGCCACCCTCCTGCAAGGAAACCCTCCCTTCTCTTACTACTTCCAGACCTGAGGGCACTTAAGTGTGGAAAATAGCTCCAAAAACAAAGCTAGGGAAGACCAAGACCCTGCTGGGACAGAGGAAGGGACATCTGTGTAAGCTGGGATGTCCCAGGGCTGCTGAGGTGACAATGGGAACTCAGGGGCAGCTCAGCCACCTTGTAGGACCCTCCCAGGGGCCACCACAAAGCCCAGCCACGTTCTGCCCCTCTGCAGGTGCTTCAACTAGAAACTAAAACCATTTTGGGGCCAGTGATGGTTTCAGAGCGTTTCCACTCTGTGTGTTTCCTTCCACATGAATAACAAAAACATGGCAGGTGACACCTCAGAGTGAGCTCGTGAGTATCCTGCACCAAAAAACAACCCCACAACAGCCCAGCAGTTCTCAAGTGGCAGCAAAGCTGCTCAAACAGGGCAGCCACAAAAGCAGGTTTTTTAATCCCAAACTGAGGACACCCCACTGTATCCCTGGGAGGGTGTGGAGCCACCAGGAGTAAACTCAAACCCCCCTGTCTTTTTGTTTGGGTTGGATTTATCAGAGAATCACAGGATGGTTTGGGTGGGAAGGGAGACTAAAGACCATCTCATTCCATGCCCCTGCCATGGGCAGGGACACCTTTCACTAGACCAACTTGCTCCAAGTCCCATCCAACCTGGCCTTGGACACTCCCAGGGATCCAGGGGCAGCCACAGCTTTTCTGGGCAACCTGTGCCAGGGCCTCATCACCCTCACAGCCAACAATTCCTTCCCAATATCCCATCTAACCCTGCCCTCTGGCAGTGGGAAACCATTCCCCCTTGTCCTGTCACTCCACGCCCTTGTCCAAAATCCCTCTCCAGCTCTTTTGCATCCCTTTAAACAAATTCAACCCCTTCCACATGCTCTAAATAACCCATGACCCCTCTGCACAACAGACAAGTATCAAAACAACCTGCCAAGATCCCGAGTTGTTATTACTGTGGCAGAGCCCAAAAGAGACAATATCCATGTACTGGACACGTTAAACATCATTAGCATGAAAATAATGAGTAAGGACTCATTAACCTGTTGGCTCCAAGGCATGAATCCCATTATCCAGGCACATGTGCCATTAAGCTAGGGAAAAAGCACACTGTCTGTATTCCCTTGTGAGCACCATAAAACTCTTTTCATTGCAGGCAAGGTTTAGCACAGCAGCAGAGGGTGTGAGATCAGCCAGTGACAATGGGGATATCAGGAAATATTGGGAAGCAGGGTGATTTTTAGCTCTATGGCTGGCATTTTTCCTCCAGCTTGAGGATTTACCTACTTTCCAAGGTGTAGTTGGGTTGGCTGCAATCAGTGGTAAGAAGGCACTGGCAGTTTGAAGGAGAGGAGGATGCTCCAGCAGCTTAGCTTGGATTAAATCTCTTCCCTGTGAGGGTGGGGAAGCCCTGGCATAGGTTGCCCAGAGAAGCTGTGGCTGCCCCTGGATCCCTGGAAGTGTCTAAGGCCAGGTTGGATGGGGCTTGAAGCAACCTGGAATAGTGGAAGGTGTCCATACCTGTGGCAGGGGAGTGTAATTAGATGGTCTTTAAGGTCCCTTCCAACCCAAACCATTCTGTGATTCCATGATTCCACAAAAAGCCCTTGCAACAAGTGCCTGGATTTGAATGTTTTGCTGCTAATTTTTACTAGTTGGCGCCTAAGCTGCAAAAAAAATCTAATTTTTTGTTGTCTGTTGAATGAAGAGCCACTGACATATTTGAATAACATCATCTTCTTTTACCTGCAGCACCCGGGCAAAACAGGCACCAAAAACTGGGATTTAGTTGGGAAAACAGCAAGGGAAACCCCTGATCCCAGGGCACTGATGCAGCATTTACAGCTGTGTCAGCCCTTGGTCTGCTCCACCCAGCTTTGCCAAAATCTTCAGCTTTCACCTGTGATGTGGAGCAACAAATGTGGATGTGGAGCAGTGAGTTGCTGCTCGATGGGATGAGATTGGGATTTAATGTGCTCTGAGCTTAAAGCCAACATTGCTTCGGACCAAGGAAGAACTAGTTCTCCTCAATCCCAGTAAATTAATCCCACTACCTCGACTTCTGGATGCATTTCCACAGAAATTGCCACGTAAAACCCAAGAGAGCCGCTGCGAAAGGAGCATTTCTTGACGCCGAGCCCTCCTGCTGAGCTGCCATCCCACTCCTCCCTCCCAAACTGGGCTCCTGGGGGGCTCTGGCATCCTGGACCTGCCAACACTGCTTGAAACAGTAATTAGGCTTCGTTTGCCAGCTCCTCGTCAGCACAAGCTGCCGCCTGCTCTGCACAGAGCTGAGCTGAAAGGCTGCGGAGCAAGGGCTTGGGAAGAGAGGATCCTGGAATCCGAGTGCCTTGTACCAGCTCCGTCACCAGCTCCAGCTCCAAACCCAGGAAATCTGAGCCCAACCTCCCCCCTAGCAGTTTACCCCCCTGTTCCCTTGGGGCTTATCCAACTTGCATGTGGGTGGAGATCAGAATTCTCACAAATGTTTTAAAAAATGGCACTTCCCCCCCTCTGGAAGTGCTGAAGGCCAGGTTGGAATAGGCTTGGAGCAACCTGGGACAGTGGAAGGTGCCCTGCTCATGGCAGGGGGTTGGAACGAGATGAGCTTTAAGGTCCCTTCCAGCTCAAACCATTCCATGATTCTATGATTTTAAGGGTGATTAATTAGTGCAATTACCCTAAATAGGACACCAGCATCCTTGGAAAGTGTTTCCTTACATTCCTGAAGGTGCAAAAGGGCATCAAGTGAGATTTCATGGATGTCACAAGACACCTCCTGTGTCTCCCGGGGTCTGAAGTGTTTACCCACTCATCTGTGATCCTCTGCAGTTTTAAACCTGTGGAAAACACCCTCTCCTGTCTCTCAGTTGGAATTGGAATAGGCAGGAACAGGCACTGGAATAAGCTGCCCAGGGCAGTGGTGGATTCACCATTCCTGGAGGGATTTAAAAACCCTGTGGATGTGGCACTTGGGGACGTGGGTCAGTGGTGGCCTTGGCAGCGCTGGGGGAACGGTTGGACTCGTCGGTCCTTTTCTAACCTAAACAACTCTATGATTCAATTCTCCAGACCTTTTTCATCTCCCAGCGAGTGTTTTCTCAGCTCTCTCCCACCACACCTCCCAGCTGAACCGAAAGGAAAAGCAGGAATGAAACAGAAAGTGCTGCCAGAGTGAAACCTCGCTGTTCCCTCACCACAGAGACCAAAAGCAGCATCACCCACCACCCAGAACGGCCCCTTTTCGGGGTGAAAGCAGCAGCTTCCCTGCTCCTTGATTTCAATAAAAAGTCATATTTTCCATCCCTGATGCACCAGTGTTTTTCACCCAGTTAGTAGTAAAGTGAGTGAATCCCATTGGGGCAGCCAGGATCTGGGGAGAGAAGGGATCAGGCTTGTTCCTACCAGGCAGGGCAGCACCCAGGACTTTTTTGGTCCAGAGGAGGGTTTTTTTGTTCTGCAAATGGTTCTTTTTTTGGTCCAGAAAAGGTGCCAAGCTGGGTATTGTACCAGAGGGATTTATCCGAGCTCTCATTCATGCTCGGATTTCTCCTGCTTCCTGTGCTTCCCAGCAGCTGAGCCCATCCCAGCTCACTGCATCCCCCCCTTGAGGCAAGCAGGCTCTCCCAAAAACTGCCTTTTCCTCCCCAAAAACTGCCTTTTTCTCCCCAAAACCAGCCATGACACAGCATCCAGAAGGGATAACTGAGCATATGGAGGTGCCATCTCCTCCCCGGAGCCGGCGCTGCCGGTCACCGGCCGGCTGGAGCGTGGGAATCCCTCCTGAGGGGCCGCCTGGCTCTGCCAGGCATCTTGTTGCTTTTCCTAAAAGCCACAGGCTAAAAATAGGCGGCTCAGCTGAAAAAAATAATTGCTAAATATATCCAGAAAAGCATAAAAATA